ATATATATATATATATATATATATATATATATATATATATATATATATATATATACTTCGTTTTTCATTTATTCATTCATTGATTCTGATTGGTAATCGTCAGAGCAATCACTGATTTTACATTTCATTATTTTATTTCATTTTTTTGAGAAAAAAATAAAATAATTATTAAAAAACAAGAACTCCTTTCGGATCTATTAATTTATCAATAAAAAGCAAGTATATCCTTTATAAGTTTTTTTTTCTTTTTTTCCGCTACTGTTGCAAACCTGTGTCTCTTAACAAACCGGGAGCCTTTTTTTCCCCTGTCATGTTCAATTCATTCTTTTAAAAAATAATAATAATCTTGAAAAATAAGAAATGAAAACCACCTGAATCGTCACAAGACCTTTTTTTTTTTCATTATTAAAATCATCATAGGCGAAGTTAGGTGTATTGTTGTAACGGAGCCATAAGTCGAACTTGGTGCAAATGGCTTCAACTGCGCACTCATTTTTTTTACCCTGTGTTCAGGTTTGGTTCCAGAACAGACGAGCTAAGTGGAAGAAAAGAAAGAAGACAACCAACGTGTTCCGCGCCCCGGGGACACTGCTCCCAACGCCTGGCCTACCGCAGTTCTCCGCGGCGGCAGCAATGGAGAACAGCCTGTGCTCGTTCCACGCCAACGACTCGCGCTGGGCAACGGGGATGCCCGGGGTGTCCCAGCTGCAGCTCCCGCCAGCCCTGGGCCGTCAGCCGGGTATGGCGCAGTCCCTCTCGCAGTGCAGCCTGGGTCCTGGCCCTCCGCCTAACTCCATGGGCCTCTCAAACGGTCTGTCCTCCAACGGATCCGGCCTGCAGTCCCACCTCTACCAGACGCCTTTCCCGGGAATGTCCGCGTCCCTCTCCGGCCCCACGAACGTATCGGGCTCCCCGCAGCTGTGTAGCTCACCGGACAGTGACATGTGGAGAGGGACAAGCATCGCGTCACTTCGACGGAAAGCACTGGAGCACACAGTCTCAATGAGTTTCACTTAGTGACTCTTCTAATCATCTCCTCCAGATCCTCCCTGTTCGGCTCCTCGTCCCAGTCCTGACATGCGCCTTTCATATGTTTCTACTCCTGCTGTTTAGATCAAAATAAGAGACAGGAATGGAGACTAAAAGGGCAAAATAAAGTATCTGGAAAATTAAGTTTTGAGGTTGTTTATCTTGCTATTTCAAAAAGGACTTTATCAATACTTGATGATAAATGCTATTGTATGATTACTAGACTATAGGTCCTAATTAATGAGAGCCAAACAATCGTTGTATTTACGTTTTCACTGAGTGTGTCTTTATACACACTTTAATGTATCCAGGTGACGTGTTTTGTCGAACAGTTCTTTAAATATCGGTCAGTCCCCACTTCAGCAGTGAGTCTTTTTGAACTGAATCTCATGAGTGCTCTCTGGGGAAAATTTGGCATTATGATTTCAAGAGAAATGGGCCCCAACTCACTCTGAGAACCCAAGTGTCGGAATGAAACCAAATCAAACACAGAAATGGGAAGAGAACCATGCTCATTCATCTGCCCCCCATACTCTATTTTAGGATGTTTTGAGTAGATAAAACATTCTTGCTGTACACGCTGGTCTTTTTGTGACATGTTTTAACTTATTGTATGTGCTATTATTACTTGACACATTTCTTAAATGTTTGACCTTACATCAGCACCATATTGACGGGTTTGTACCAGTTAAAAGATGAACAAAACGAATAAAATTAATTTTCAAGAATGTCGAAAAAAAGGATTATGTGCTACTCTCTGTTCACTTTAACATCAGTTCGCATTAAGATATGGCAGCAGCATGCTGTGGGGATGCTTGTCTCCAGTAGAAGGACTGGGAAGCTGGTTGGAGCTAAAAAAAAAAAAAAAAAAAAAAAAAAAAAAAAAAAAGAGAGAGAGAGAGAAACAGCTCTTACAGATTGTAGGCTACACTACGAGGTAATTACTATTACTCAGAGTCCTATGAGGACATCTTTGACAGATTTATAGTTAAAGCATCTCTGACTGTTCTTATGGTGGTAAGGATGTCTGGGCTGTGCTGTGACGGTCATTGCTTTTAGCCATGACGGTCACCCTACTGAGGATATTGACTGGACTCCAATGTCTCCAATAGCACAATATGTTCATAAGGAATATCATTTGTAAATAAAAAGTAGATATAGACCCACTGTTATTATGCTGTTTTGTAACACAGAGCTAGGCTAACTGGCTCAGTGTATTGCAACAAAATTAATTTCAAAATAGGCCTATATTTGCGAAAAATGAAGCGATGGATAAGAAAAATTAAACGCATTTAAAGTTTCTGCACAGATTCACATTGTTTAGTTATATTTCTTGCTCATATGAGTAAGATTTGCGCTTAGCCTGGGAAATTTTAATTTAAATTATAAATTCCAAGACTTTTTGAATTTTAAAATGTGATTGAATGCATTCGTTTGTCGTTGTATTATGCAATTTTAGACTAGACCCATTTGACCTATAGCCATAGTAGCTTAAGCTTTTATTTAAGATCAGTTTGAACTAAGTAAGAAGAAAGTTAGGACATTGGAATTATACTTAATATTGGCGCAATATATGCACCAAAAACGGGATACATATTGCACACAGTAATAACGTGGGGTGCCAATAATTAATGTTTACGCTTCTTATGAAATCGTTAAAAAAAACAAAAAAACAGAGAGCAGTTTTTAGAATTTCTTAAAAGTAGGCCTATTTCCTTAAGTTCATCATAACAAACAGGAATGACTTTTCCTAAAAATAAATACATAAATAAAAGGCATGCAGACTACTGACATGAATGAAGAAAAAACAAGTTATTTGTCAATGATGAAAACTATAACATTAGATAATTCAACCTGTGTCTGCGTCTTGGAAAACAATTTTGATGTTTTTTAAAGCCCAAAGGCAACTCTACGGTGTATGACATCTGAGTCTGTTTGATCATTCGACATTTCCCAACGAGCAAAAATTGATAACACGACGTGATTTGCGTCCAAATAACGTCTACATTTAGTTGAAAAGTAAAAAATGAAAAGCCTTAATTTTCAAATTGTTGAAAACAATGACTATTATTGGAAAAAGTGGGGAAAAAATCAGACCGACCAAACACAGCCCCATTTTAACAATGGTTTGGACTAAAAATCCCGACAGTCAATATTGGACGTCTAATTGACCTGGTGATAGATAGATAGA